GGGGGGGGGGGGCACGCTGAGAAAATTAGAGAATGGTAGACTGAATTTGTGTGTCGTGTGTTCCGGCCATGAATTTATTGTGTTTATCTCTAGTTTTAAGTCCTGTTGTAATATATGGCAGTCACACCTGCACCTGTGACTTGATTTTAGTTCCCAGGAAGTGTCACTATACTTGGTGTTGGATTTTTTTATACTTACTGTATTTGGATCTTTATGGTCTTTCCTAGCTCTTGGATTTTTATGATTTATGAATTTGGTATTTACAGTTCTCATAATTTTTAGTGATTGACAACTGAATTCTTTTATAAATGTGTCTGAATGGTTACAGAAAATCCACAGTAAGTTTTTGAAATGTTATTAAAGCAATTCTGTCTTTAATTTTTCATTCTCTGAACCTTTGTGGTTTTCCTCTGAATATATTACAGATCTAATACTTAGGTATTATTTTCTAATAGAAGGTAGCAATAGTGTAAAAACCACAGAGTGCATTTAGCATCTTTCTCTTTCCCCATACTGCCGAGAAGCAGCAGTTGAGCAGATCGCATTCTTGGGACCGACCCTGCCTAGTTCTTCTGAATTTGAAACACTCCATTGTTCAACACCTCATTGCAACTGACATGTCCCCTACAGTTTGAGTCAGTGGGAGGCTCTGCTGTGTAATTAATGCATAATTGGAGCCTCCTCCACACAGTCACAGTGCTGGCCATGACCCATGGCTCGAGTTGGCATGAGTTCTACTTGGATTCATGTAAACCTGAGGATTCTTCAGTTTTCTAGCCCTACAATAAGTAAAGTAAGCAAAACAAAATAAAACCCACCATAACCTTTAACATCCCAAATAACAAAGTTAAGGTAACAGGTGGAAGTAATTTAAAAGCACATTTTACATGTATCAACATGATTTTGAGAGACCTTTTAGTGGGTCTGTAACTTTATTCAGAATAAACTGGTTGGATGGCAGTTGTCATTCTGGCTGTGATGTAGCCTCACAGGGCAGGTTCCTGAGAGGAGAGATGCTCAGGGAAGGGGGCCCCAGTGGCATGCAGGGGTCTCCCCTTGCTTAAGCACGTGCCTAGGGAAGAAGCAGGGGGACGGGTGCTGGAGTTGACATTGGACCAGGGCGGTTCCTGTCCCAGCAGCCCTGCAGTGTGACTCAGCCACGTTGGGGACAGTGCAGGAGACTCTTATCACATTGAGGACTTTCCACTCTCTTCCAGCTCCCACTGTTGATGAGGACAGGTCTGCTGTTAGTGTGGCAGTGGAAAGAAATCAGCTTTATCGCTAAGGGCTGGGTGAATGTAAATTGTGTGTCTGTGAGAGAGAGACACATACTGACATCGCTGGTGTGAGCTTGTATTCTGCTCGACGTGCAAGGGAAAAACCCATGCTCGTCAGGCATCATACTCTGTACAGAACAGGTGTACTTTAAAAATAAATGTTTTTGGTTTAAAACTCAGTGTTTAAAAAATAACTTCAAAGCATGATTTATTTTTTCATTTATATCACATTGAATCATTTGACCTTTCCTCTTTGTTTTCAAAGATTTGTCCCATCAGATGAAAAGAAGAAACAAGGCTGCCAACGAGAAAATGAAACGCTGATACAGAGGAGAAAAGACCAGATGCAGCCAGGGGGCACTGCTCTCAGTGTCACGGTTCCCTACAGAGTCGTAGACCAGCCCCTGAAACTCATGCCTCAGGACTGGTGAGATGTCTGTATTTCCTACATAGCCAGGAATTCTGGTATAATGAACAAGCATTAAGTTTTACTGTGAGTTATAAGTAGAGCCTATATTTGAAACCAGTGTTAATGCCTAACTTGGTCAGCAGTCATACAGTCCGGTGATAGCTAATCAATTCTGTATTTCGGGTGGCTAAACTTAATTCTACTTATAAGAAGAAACATTAACTTTTGGAAGGCTTAGTGGAAATTCTTCCCACTCGCCCACTGGTTCTGGATCAGCTTTTAGAGCAGAACTTCAGGCAGACTGATGTTTTGAGGGCCTGCATTTTAGGTTTTCACTTTGGAAATTAGCTTTGAATTTTAAATGAGTTCCTTTTAAAACCTACTTTTTTGATTAGATCGGCTACTGTTCCCTGTTGTGTTGTAAAAGTGGACTCTTATGTAGTCACTAGAGGGGCAGAGGTAAAAGGCTAAAAAGATCACATAAGATTGTGTGTGTAAGTAATAATACTTAGAAGACTTGTGTGCAGAACAGGTGCATGGAAGCATAGTGATCTAGTGGCAGCATTACAGTGAAAAGTCATGGTCGTGTGCCTCATAGACTGTTAATGGGCTGTATCACATGAGTAATCACGATACTCCTTCCTCAGGGACTCACAGTGACCGAAGCTCACATTTGCCCGTTCACTCTGCACCCTTCCCACCCCTTTTCTGTTTACAGGGACCGGGTGGTGGCTGTTTTCGTGCAGGGTCCTGCATGGCAGTTCAAAGGTTGGCCGTGGCTTCTGCCTGATGGATCACCCGTTGACATATTTGCTAAAAGTAAGATTCTCTTTTTTTACTACTGACCCAATGTGGGGATGCTCTTGCTTTATTTGAGAGAAAGAGCCATCGTGTGTTTGCGTGTGAGACATCAAATGGTTCCTCTCCATTCACACAGGTAATGCTAACTTTTAAGCACCTGTGAAATATCTTTAAAGCCTTTTTTTGAACATCACATATTCCCCAACATTAATAATTACTTTTTAGGCCACTTTACAATCATTAGTATTGCTGCTCGTCCATATGTCTGAACTAAAATCAGTGCCAGTTTCTATCTTGATTGAAAGTCTCGGTGTCTACAGTGCAGTTCCCTGGCGGGAGAATCCTCACCTGCCTTATGCATATAGTCAGCACACAGTGTGCTCGGGGAAGGGGTCAGTGGATGTGTTACATGTTGACTGCATGTGGCTACAGCCTCTGGTGACCATACATTGGTCAATAAAAAGTAGATGAACTTAGCCTGGCCTTTTTTTTTTTTTTTTGCTGGTAGGGATATTTCAATGATTACTTAAATTCAAGTACCCAGTTAGTGGCATAGTAGGACTATTTTATAAAGAGCATTCTCATGAAACAAATGTTTATTAAACACGGCAACTTTATTATGAGTTAGATTATGCTGTGGTGAAATCCCACCTGTTTTTAGCATTTTTGTTAGTGGTTCCACCCTTCTTCCAGGCTAGAAGCTGCCCACAGTGGAAAGATTTACTCATGTAATGAAGTCTAATAACATTATGGTTGCTTTTTCTGTTATTTCTGAAACTTGAGTGATGCATAGAGTTGATAAATAGGAAGCTGAAAGATGTACAGAGAGTGAGAACTTTGGTGAAAGTAAAATGCGAGTGAACAGGAAGGCTGTGCTTCACCTGCTCGCATGTTTGCTGACGAGTATTGCAAAAATGATTACAATATCTGCGTTTCATTAAATGCTCTGTGTTTCATTAAAGAATATAACTGTTTTCATTGTCGTTTTGTTCAGATTGTTAGGTTCTGACCTTTAAGTAAGAGCTTGGAGACTTTTAAAAAACAGTTATAGTAATGATTTTCTTCCAGGAATTAATCTCTTTCTTTTCAACCTTCTCTACTGACTCCTTTCGGTTAGCATTTAAAGTGAAAGCACTCTTGCCCCTTCTGTCTTAAAACCAACAAAATGAAAAAAACCCTTCCCCTTGACCTGACCTTTCCTTTCCTTCCAGCTTCTTCTCTTTCTGTCTTTACAGCCAGGCTTTCGGAAGAGATGTCTCTACTAACTGTTCTGTTCAGTTCTCAGTCCACTGTAGTCTCACTCTCTTGCCTCCTACTAAACTATTCCCATCAGACTCACCAGGGACCCAAGTATTGGATACTTTCAACCCCCTTATCCGAATGTGAGTCTCTCGACCACATTTGCTCCTTTATAAAATGTTATTTTTGCCCTGGCTGGGTAACTCTGTCAGTTGCAGTGCTATCCCAATACGCCAAGGTTGCAGGTTCAGTCCCTGGTCAGGACACACAAGAATCAACCAGTGAACGCATCAATAAGTGGAGCAACAAATCTGTTTTCTCTCTCTCTGTCTCTCATCAAATAAATAAAGTTTGTTTTTTTAAAGTTACTTTCCTGTGACTGGTCACTCTTTCTCAGACTCTAGCTACTTTTCCTCTGGCCTCAGCCACATATCTATGTTCCCAAGTCTCTCCTTTAATTGTAAAGATTCTCGAGACCCGATCGCTTTCCCTTAATCTGTGTCCTCAGTTCTAAAAATATGTCTGCAGCATGGTGCTCTGGCCTCCGCATCTCACTGGTGACCAGGTGACTCCCGTGAGGTCCTGTTGGGACATCAGGCTCAAACTATTCTGAGTGGAGCTGATTGTCCTATATGCTCCCTCAGCTCCAAACTGCCCTTTCCTCAGTTTGTTTTTTAAGTAGTTTACCTGGGCCAGAAACTTAGGAATATATTCCCTCTTAGTTTTTAGTTGGTCTCCTTGCTGATTCTGCTCTTCTGGCTTCCCCGCTTCTTCCCACAACACATTGGGGACGGTAATACCTGTCAGCATGGGGGAGAAAATGAGAGCATTGGAGCATCTCTGTGGCCCTTGGTGAAAAATTATGTTTTCTTTATATTGCATGGTAATAAAGTACAAAGGTTTAGAGAAGATACTAAATATTGCATTGTATAAAATTGCCAAATAAAACCTTTTCAGTATTATGAGAAATTTGAGCTTAGAACTGGACATCACTTTTCTAAACTATTACTTTTTATGGTTGAGGTGGCTGCGTACATTTGTGATCATGATTTTTAAGTGATGATTTCTCCAAATTTTTGTTATTTAGAAAAAATTTCACTTAATTGTGTATTATGTTGTCCTTTTGCCATTTGACATTGTGTCATTCTGTCGACTAAGTATTACTCAGGAGCACCGTTTCAATTATTTTTGCTTCTTTGTTCCGGCAAAAAACTGTTGACCAGATGCGTGCCGTTGGCAGAGAAAGCACTTCTGAGCCGTGCGAAGTGTTTTGCTTGGTCATCCTTGTGCCACCAGATGACCAGCTTCTGACAAAAGAACTTTGTTTCCTCCACTTTTTGCTGAGGCCTAAAACCTTTAAGTCTTTTTTCTGAATAAGAACGATGTTTTGTGTTAATGACTTGGTGTGAGTTTTCTTGCCATGATGGCTTCATGCTAGTAAAATATTTTATATGAAGAGAGAAGCCTTATGTTTCTTCATCATGGCTTAAACTTTTTGGACCCTGATATTTCATCTTTAATTTACAAAGTTGTCTCTTCTGTTGGAAAATAAATATTGTGTAAACAAAATCCATTGGAATTATTAAAGGGACTGTATACTTACTGTGTGTCTTTGTGGCTTTAGGTAAATCATTTAAAAAATATAACTAGTATGTATTTTTAAGAATGATTTAAAGCAGTCATGTTGAGAAAATTAGAAGAGTCAGGTGTGTAAGCAGAATAGGAAGTACTGAGATGTTGATCTATTTTTAAAATTTAATAAAGTATTTTTTACCCATAAAAACATTTTGAAAATGGGTTTCCTGAAACCATAGCATAAAGCCTCTATAGTGAATTGGTTTTAAATTCATTAAATTGAGTTCAATTCAAAATGAGTAATGTGTCCAATGAGAGATCCTTGATTTATAAAAGCAAATAATTTAGAAGTAATGTTTATGCGTTTTTTTGTGAGCACAAATGATTCATTTGGGATTTCCATCAAGAATTAGACCTTTATTGGTTTTTAACATCAAAAGCCATTAGCCAGCAAGCAGTGGAACAAGCAGTGGAGCAAACAGTCCGTAAAGTAGCTCAGAGAGTCAGCCATTCTCTAGAAAACCCTGATACTAGATGATGGGGAGAGAAATTCAGACGTGTTAGAAAAATTGAAAGAAAAGCTAAACGTCTTCCATGTCACGTGCATATGTAAAAGGACAGTTCCACTGAGCGTCCACCATCTAATTACCTACTTCAGGGTAACTCTCGAGAGGCCTTCTGTTTTTGTTTGTTTTTCCTCCTTTCCTCATTTCTTACCAATTCCCATTAGTTCTCACTCCCTGATTATCTCTTAGATGTTTTTCTTGCTATGCACGTGCCTTCTCCCCAGTTGATTCCTATGTTGTGTCCTTACTCTCTGCTAAACACTTGGTCATGATTCCTTGTGTCCAGTAGACAAAAGCCCAGACTCCTTCATGTGGCCTGCAAGCCAGAATCGCTCCACTCCTCTGTGGTCCTGCCTCTTACTCATTCCCACCATTAATTCCTTTGCATGTGTGGTTCCATTCAATTTCTTGAGCTTCTAGAGTAAACTGTTTTCCTTGTGAGCATGCTCTCACTGCTAACTAACTGGGTCACTTTGTTCTGTTAGCCTAATTCCTACCCCACCTTTAGGCCTTAGGTTAGACTTCGCTGCCTGTGCCAGCCCTCTCTGAACTCTTCTGTCCTGTGGCGCCAACGGGATCTCGCTGTATCTAGTAGTCTTCCTCATTTTCCACTGGACCACATGCAGCTTATCGTACTCATTTCAGTCCCAGTTGGCTGGCATGTGTAAACCCTCAGTAAATGTTCGTTGAATGGAATGTTTTTTGAGGATACCACACTTTTTAGCACCTTTTTAAAAGATCACTTTGGTTGGTGGAAGAAAAATTGTTTTTAGTTTAGGTATTTTGGGGGGGTTTTGCCTAATGTCTGTGTTGGGCATTTTTATTTTTTTATAAAATACTTTAATAATTTTGATTGTATTTTGAATAAAAAATTTTATCTCCCCCAATATAGTTAAAGCCTTCCATCTCAAATATGATGAAGTTCGTCTAGATCCAAACGTTCAGAAATGGGACGTGACTGTGTTAGAACTCAGCTACCACAAACGTCATTTGGACAGACCAGTTTTCTTGCGGTTCTGGGAAACCTTGGACAGGTAATTCTGGTCCTAAAATGTGCTTGCTTCTGCTTTATCATAGTAATTTTCCTGCCTCTTCAGTTAGATTTTAAGTTCCTTAAAGTTGCAAACCGTGTCTCCCAATTCCCTTTCTTCGAACATTGTCTAACTCTGCAGAAGATAATTTACAACTGTCTTTGTTATGTTGACTTTGGAAACAGCTGGAGAAAGGGCTCCTAACGGTAGAAAGCACATCTGCCCTGAGGCAGGAGACCTGGCCAGTCGGATCCTGTGGGCTGGCTGCGGGCTGGCAGCCCCGGAGCCCGGCGCTCTGCCCAGGAGCGGGGGCTAAGTGAGCCCCGTGTTTCCTGCGAGCACAGAAGGGCTTCTGACCGGATTTGAGTGCAGGTAGCAGCCCATGAAAGGAGTTTAGTTTCTGGATTTATTTTAATTACTAGTATGGAGTTAGCTTTGTTAAGGTCCTTCACAACAATTACAAGTTTTGTAACTGAAAAATTTAAGACCAGCATATAATCCAGTTAATACCACTGAATCTGTTATTTTCTTCAATGTGCCCTGTAAAGTCTTTCTTTGTCTGAGTCCCCAACTGATTGCTTTGGGTTTCCTCAGGGTCAGAGGGCACTGAGGGAACCTGTGATTATAACGGCTACTATGTTAGAGAAATGTTTAGGATTCTAGCCAGATGCTCTCATAGACTTTACTGAGAGGAAGGTTCCTTCTCGTTCCTTCGGAAGCCCTCATGCTCCCCGAAATAGTCACACAAGTCTCCAGAGAACACAGTGGCCGGGCTCACTGTCCATTTTAAGTTTTTTAAAAATTCAGCCTATTTTTATATGTAATATTCTAAAAGTTCTAAAACTCTTGTCATCATAACGTGTTCTACTATTTTCCAGGTACATGGTAAAGCATAAATCCCATTTGAGATTCTGAGTGACGTGGTCCCCTTCTGGAAGTCTGGATTAGGAGGTGGATCTGCCTTGATCTAAAGACTGACCGAGAGTCCAGCTTTATGAATTTATCAAAAACTCACAAACAAAGAAGGTCACGGATAGAGCCACGACCTCACTCGATCCGCTTGTATGTCAGAGGGATGATGCCTGCCATTCACACATGCAAACTTTTTGGCCTACAACTATTTTTTTAATATTAGCCTTCTAGTCTGTAATGGAAATTGTATATTTTGATAGAAGTTTTTTCTTCATTGGTTAAAATAGCATTACTTAAAATGTGTTTCTTTAGAAAATAAATACAGGTTATTAATGTGTGTATAGTTAGAGGTTATAAGGTTCTCTAAGCCATCTGGTTTCTGATTTTTCATTGCTCTTTAATTCCTCTTACTGTGTTCTGAATGGTATTAAATTTTAGTTTCTGGAACTTGCAAAACCAAGCAAAGAGATGTGACTCTTTGAGTGAATCAGAGTGGCAGCCTGTGTGATACAGCTCCAGTCCTCCTCTGTACTTAAAAGGGAAAGGGAAAACCAAGAACCGTCCTCCAGCTTTCGGAGACATAACTTATGTGGAATCCATTTAATGAATGTACCTTCTCACTGACTTTGGTGATTTTAAACTTAGAAGGATATATTTTTATCTGTGACATCTTTCCACTCGGAAAAGCTCAGAACACAGACTGAGATCCCAGTAGGCTATAGTCCTTTGTATTTGGGGGGCCAGAGTGTGAGTTGGGGGAAGGAAGTGTGTGAGTCCTACTGCAGTGTGATTTCACCTTCCTATCTTTGCTCGTGCGTCCACCTCTGATTCTTAACTTGCAGGGTGTGGGATTTTGAGTCTTCTATTTCTAGGCACGTTGACCTTGGAGTCCTTATCTTCCATTGTCCCTAAATATCAGTAAATTCTTGTGGGCACCAAAGAACACATTTGCTTACGTAAGTGTCTGAACAGAAACAAGATAAAAACACTGGTATTTTTATGTGTGTAGTCAATAGTGTATGAGATATAAAACCTATATTTTAACTTAGTAAAATATTTTACTACTTCTCTACTTTAGACAGAGTGTTGCATCCACAGTCCAGTGAGTGAGCATTTTTCTTGAGTCTTAACTCCACCTTTTACTACTTAAAAGCAACTTGGACCTTTATTCCCCAGAAGAGTTGTTACTGTTAGAATCCTTGCTGATCACTTGTATCATTACCCGCACCCTCCATTTCCCCCCAGTGATCTCTATAGGTTGACATATTTTTTGGTAAACATTAGCTCCTCTGTTAGCCTCGTTTTGAAATTTAATGCTGTCATAAAAATGAGAAGCACTTACTTACCCTTTAAGTAACCATGAAAGTCGTACCAATAGGGAATAGAGGAAGTACTCATGGAAGTCACTGGGTTTTTTCAGAGGAGAAGTAGTCAGCATCTGAAATTATTATATCTTAGGGCATTTATAAGGTTTGAACAGGTTCCCCTCCCCTTTTTCTTCTCTGTCCTCTCTTCTTGAAAACAAGAGAAAACTTAAATTTGTTCACCTTAAAATATCTCGGCATATAAGTCTGTTTCCAGAATAAATTATGTATTGTGTAAACTTTCTCCATGGTGAAATAGTCACAGTCTAGAATCTGTAATATTTTAATGTAAGATTACTTGTTAAGACTACTACCAGTGGACACGAGCTACCTTTCTATAAAGATTTTTAGTATTTATACTTATGTATGAAATTTACTTGATACAGAGTATGGTTAAAATGGGGAACATCTACTTTAAACGGGATTTATTTTTCTATCTTGAATTTGCCTTATATGTATTCAGAGGCTCCTGGAAATACTGTAAGGGACGTTAGGAAAAGTACAGATGTGCTCTGCCTTGTATTTTAAATTCAGACCCTTAGTATGTACTTTCTTTTTTCAGCAGCTCAATCCCTTATTTAGGCCCATGTAATTAACTTATAGCCAGTAATTCTTAAAAAAAACCCTAAAAGCCCAACTCACAGCCAATCACTATTCATGCTCTCACGACTCCGAGTCCTACAGCAGCACCTACCACAGTGCCTTGCACATAGTAGGCATTCAGTAGACATTTCCATACATGAATCAGTGATGTATTTTCAATGTAACTGATGTATCCAAAAAAGCACTTTGTACTTGGTCTTGGAGTTTGAAAATACAGAATCACAGGGAAAGAAGAGGCACAGGAGATATTTTAATGGACATGAAATGCCCAGCAATACACTTGACTTACCGTAAGTGACCGTTGGCAGGGGACCCCCTTGTCTCGTCCTGCCAGTAAAAGAAAGCCCCAGTTCGTTCTTCACCGGACACTCCTGAGCCAGGCAACAGTGAGGAGCATGGAGGTTTCCGTGAGGAGCACTCCGCTCCTCTGGGGACCTTTTACAGACACCGCTGTCTGAATTCTGATTCTGATTTAGTTTGTCTGGGCTGAGACCTGGTCATCAGTATTTTTCTAAAGTGCTTCAGGTTCAGAAAGGATTGAGAATCACTGGTCTAATTTGTTACTGAAAACAATACCAGTATTAAATGTGTTTTCTGTTTTTTCATCTATTTTTTTTTTTTTTAATCACCCTTTGCACTAGACCATCCCCGTTATTGGTGGTATCGGCCTATGATTCCACATGACAAATTTGTTTTATTTATTTAATATAGGAGTATCTTGCTGTTTAATATTTAAACAATGTTTAATATATTTCACGATAAACTAGTATTATAGTTTATGATTTGTTTCCCATGTGTCCATATACCCTTCGCTGACTTTTTTTTAACAGCAGCATGACAACGGTCCACACAGAGATAACTGATTCATAATGAGGAAGACTTGGTAATTTTTAAGGTAGAAAGAAGTAGAGTGTTGATTTCTTATCTGCCATGCAGAATCAGAGCTTGCTTATGGAAGGAAAGGCATACTTTTTCATTGGTCTGCTCAGAGAAGTAAAAGTAAATTATTTAAATAAAATTCATTATCTGATGAACATTGAAGGAAATATTTTTCCTAAATAAAAATTTTTGTGACTCCTAACCAAATGAAAGTGATGACGTTCTTTCTTGGAGGGCGGGGAGGGGTCTTCAGTTGGCGTATTTCTTACTCTGACAATTGCATTTCATCGGTGTCAACTGTGGGTACACGGTGGCAGGATATAGGTCTGTGGCCCGAGATAAAGTGCCCATTCGTCAGACACCTGTGATCTGAGGCTCACTGGTTAAGCCAGTTAGCTTATAAAATTCTTTGTGACCAGTGGTATATTTTATAATATTGCAAATACAACAATTACAAAAGCTGGTGAAAATGAAAGGAAACGTGAGAAATAAGTTACATTAGCCTTACTGTTACTTGACCAAATGTTCAACTTGTTACTCTAACAATAGTATGTTCACTTTAGAAGTAAAAAGGAGGAGAAATGACTGGATTTGAGTCAAGATTTGGATTACGGATTTTGAAATGCCGTGGCCTGTATGTCCTGGCCCGGTCATTGACGCCTTTGGGTGCACATTGACCCCAGCATGGTATTTATATCCATAAGCTGGGGTAACTAAGGAAAAATTGAAACTGTATAATGGGTGTGTAAAGAATTCTATTCAATAAATGCATGATAGGGAATTGTACTTTGAGGGTTTTAATCTGTTTGGGTTTCTGTGTATTATTTTAGGTAGTGTTCTTAGCAGTATCTTGGGAGTTACAGATGTCGGCCACTTAAATGAGCAAAGTTAATGAAATAAACTGATTTTATTACCAAAATTTAAAAATGGGGTGATTGCCTGGCTGGGCGTGGCTCAGCGGTTGAGCATTGACCTGGGATCCAGGCGATCAGGGTTTGATTCCCGGTCAGGGCACAGGCCCAGTTGAGGGCCTGCAGGAGGCAGCCAATCAATGACTCTCATCACTGATGTTTCTCTCTTTCTCCTTTGCTCTCTCTGAAATCAATAAAGATATATTTTTTAAAAATGGGGTGATTGTCAAATTTGAGTAAATGATCTGAGGTTTTGTTGGGGGTTTTTTGCCATTGAATTACATTTTCATTCACTTTAAATTCACTGAAAGCTACTTAACGTCCAAGTTTGATCATGGTGCTGAACCGGTACGTGGTGTGGGCACCGCACGTGTTTGTGTACCCACCAGTTTCCGCTCGAGAAAGGCAGTCCTGCGTGGAGGCGAGGTTTGGGCCGTGCGGCCTGATAAACGCTGGTTCCGTTTTAGTGCCTTTTACACGCCAGCCCTAATTGTAGGTGAAACACTCCGCAGTTCATGAGATACGAGCAGCGGGCTAAGCCCCACGTCCACCCGAGGACGGGCACTACCATGGGGCACGACGTGTGTGATGGGGTCTGCACAGGGGGGCCCTGGGGTGCTCCAGGAGCAGAAGGGCTGTTTCGGAAACACACTCATCCTTGGACAATGCGGGGGGTGCGGGGGGTGTCACTCCTAAGGCTCCACACAGGTCATGGGTTCTGTCGCGCCCGCCGGCCGGGGAGGACGGGTCCCCACGGAGCCGGGAAAGGGGGTGCGGGCCCAGGCTGTGCCGGGCCGCCGCCAGTGCCATGGACGGTTTCACCCTGAAAACGAGCGAGTTCGGTGCACTGGGTCCCCTTCTTGCGAGAGCGCCATGGGCAGGCGGCTACCTGATGCGTACAGGTGAGCGTCTGATGCCAACACGTCTAACCTGGGTTTCACTTTTCAGCCCCGGCTGACGCTTAGTAGTATCTTACGGTAGTTTCAGGTGCACGGGACAGTGGTCGGACAATCCTGCTTTACAGAGCGGTCCCGATATTTCCAGTACCCACCGGGGACCATGCATGGTCCCCGCAGTATTGGTGACCGTGTGCCCTGTGCTGTGCCACCAAACCGTCTGTGTCTTATGAGTCTGCTTCTGTTCTGCTTATTTTCTTTAGATTCCACATATAAGTAAAACCACATGGCATTTGTCTTCCTCTGACTTACTTCACTGAGCGTAAAACCCTCTAGGCCCATCCATGTCGCAAATGGGGAAGATTTCATTCTTTCTCGTGGGGTGGGGAATCTATGAAGACTTCTTGGAGGAAGCGTCAGCTTTAGTCCGAAAGGCTAAGTAAGGATCAACCTTGGAACTACAAAAGGCCGTTCTAGGGAGAACCACCCTCTGAATCGTTCCATTCTAGATTCAGGAGAAGAGAGATGCCGAGCGAGCGCCGGGCACACGCAGAGAAGTAACGTGTGACTTCCGTCAGGGCTGGAACGTGGATTTGTACCACCCTAGGAAACGCAGCCAGAGTCACCGCTCAGGGGTTGTAGGCTCTGAGATATTTCTTATATTAATAAGCAACACATAATATAAATATATGTTTTTATATTTTTATATGTAAATTAAATATATAATTAATATATTTATGCTTTATATGCAGAACTGCCCTTTCTAGGCACCTCCAGATACATTTTGATCATCATAACCAGCATTTATTGAGTGACCGCTGCACACAGGCTCAGTTCTGAGTGCTCTAAGCCGTAGCTGACGTGGTCCTCACACCCAGCCTGTGGGCTGCCTGGGGCACCCACACGCAGTTTAGTGTGTGTTCAGGGTCATCTATTCAGTAGAAAATCCAGAATTGGAACCAAGGTGAGAGCCTCTGAGTTTTTTTAAAAAAATACATATTTTTTTATTGATTTCAGAGAGAGGAAGGGAGAGGGAGAGAGAGAGAGAGAAACATCAATGATTCGATGCTCCCTGCACGCCCCCGACTGGGGTCTGTGCCCTGACCCGGAACTGAACTGTGACCTCCTGGGTCGTAGGTCAACCCTCAGCCTCGGAGCCACGCCCAGTCCGGCTCTGCATGATTCTCACACCGCGTTCGACCCACGTCCAAAGGCTCCGGTTCCGTGAGGAAAAAGCACGTGGCCAGGAAGGTTCGCCGTGGCTTCCCTGCGGCTCCGGACTTAGAAGCCCCCTAAAAGTGCGAGTGTTTCACTAAGTCTGGCACCGGCCTGCGTCTGGGTATGAAGCCCTGACCCGAGCTGGCCTGAGGTCATGTCGTGCGGGTTTTTTATCTATCACGGTTGGTGTGAATATTTCTATGTTTTGCTGCAGAAACCTTAACGAGTTCCATTCTGCGGTGTTTTTCTAGGCCCCGCTCTGGGTGTTACCTCATGAATAGTGTAGGCACCGTATTCTCTCAAATCCAGAACAAAATAACCTGAACTCCCGAATGCACCCGGGCCTCCGCGGCCTTGCAGGGAGCGACTGGGCACGAACCGGCAAGCCGAGTGGCCTGTGCCCTCCCTGCAGTATTCCAGGTGATCCCCCTGGTTGCTCTGGGAAGAAACGTAATCAAGACTTAAGACTATGGAGCAGCAGCCAGTCTGCAATCGTCAAGAATCACACCTATCAGCGAAGCCACTGGAAAGTGCCGGGAACGTCGTTCCAAAGAAAAGTCGCCTTCCTCTGTCCTGAAGAAGGGAGTTAAAACAGAGGTAGGTCTTGAAATCTTTGGTGGGAGAGAGAACGGAAGAGCAGGCCCTTGTGGAAACAGATTTCCCAAGCGCACAGATTCGTCCCTGCAGCCCACGTTTAACTTTCCCCCGGGCTGGTTGCGAAATAATTGACACACTTCCCTGCGGAAGGTTAATCATGACGGTGTGATCTACATACGTTGAGAAATGTTGACCGCCGTGGGTCCAGCTAACATCCGTCTTCTCAGATTAATACAGTAAAAAGGAAGAAAACCGAAAA